GTAAGCAAACTGCAGGTGTCAAAATGCAATAAGGCTCCAGGTCTGTCGGTGAGGATAGTGGTCCCTGTGTTTGTGAGAGGCAGCCAATCAGGAAGAAGCTGTCTTAAGGCGAAAGGAGCTAAAACAGCTTGTTTCAGTGGATGGTCATCTGCATGTCATCTGGCATACCAGAAACACATAAGCCATACAATGGATATTAACTCTAATCTAGTATTTCTTCAATGTGGTGTTTTTACTCTACCTTAAGCAAAAACTGGGTACTTTTTGTACTTAAAGTTCTGAGTTTAGCTATGACTTTGAATATAGTAACTAACCAGTGGAGTGTAGCCTGTGTGCTAAACGCAGGTTGTTACCATCTGTGAATTCTGTAAGCCCCTGACAGGCTGTGCTTCCATCAACCTGTTCAGAATTTGTTTAATCTTTCCTCTTGATGTTTTGTTTTGAGATATAAATACAGGCAAACTGACCCACTGTTTATAACCATTAGTTTTAAGGCCCAGCCTTCACTGTTCTTCAGGACCGATCATGTTATCCAAAAGTCCTTAAAGGTGAACGCTTTTGTTAATAAAGGTAATCAGTGGGAGGGACAGTCATTTAACAGTTTATTTAAAACCTAAGTGTGTGTGTGCGTGCCTGAGTGTGTGTGTTTCTCAAAGTAATGACAGTATTGTAAATCTGTTATGGCAGAGTATGACATCAGCATATCTCCCACCTTTGGTCTGGTGACATGTAACTTATTTCTTGGAAATTATTTACAAACATGCTAACAGACAAGTATTGGTTAGTTGCATTAACTAGTGGGTTTGTGTTTCTGTGTGTGTGCTGCCTGTTAGTCATGAAGCTGAAGTTAGTTGCCATGACAAGATGAAAAATCACCCAAGAGGAAGTTCTGGAGGTCTGGTGTAATATTAAAGGCCCCTCCATGAACTCTAGGCAGACGGTGGAGCAATTACATCCTGAGATGATGCAGTAGATCTTTGTCAATTTCCTTTTATTTGGCGTGCACAGCTCTACATTATATCAGGAATAAAGAACTCAAAAACAGAAGTGACCAGAGTATGGAATGAGGTGGATGGCCATATCACCACCCAGCGTATAGCTTGGCTTTTTTTTCAAAAGGGAAATGGCCAAAGTGCATTTAGATAGTGTGTTTCAAGTGTGCTTAACTTTTGTACTCCGATTACTCACTTGTTTTATTTTCTCTCTTAACTAAATATTTGTAAGCTTGAACTGTTTTACTAGTTTACGGCTGCTTAATGCACTCTCACTCTAAACAGACGAACGGCCACTTATTCTGTTTGTTGTTGAGATCTGTAGATGTTAAAGATTGATTTAAAACAAAACAAGAGCCTAACAAGAGCTTTTTCTTGGAAAAGAACATTTACCATAACTGGCTGGCAAAATCAGGGTGTCACAAGGACTTTTGGCCCCCTTAATGAATTTGAAGAAGTGAGCAAAATAAGCTGCTGTGTGCAGCTGCCAGGTATGAAGGCGTCGCAAATGTAAAGCATGGCACAGCTGATAAAGGGCACAAAAAACCTGCATTTGGATGAGTAAGTGTTATCATCTCTGTCCTCAATAGTGAAAAATGTGAATGTAGCACAGCCTCTGCTTCCAACCAGATATTGTTGTGTTGTGCACTGAGTTAAGTTAGCGGTCACTTAGATATCACATTAGCAAAATAACAAGGACCCACTGGCTGCACAAGTCAATAAAGCTGTCAGTCTGCCCTGTTGAAACGTCCTTGAGTAAAGGCTCCTACCCATGTCTTGCCTGGAGTAGTTATAAAAAGAGCACTAGGAGACGACAAATGTTCCAAATATCAAAATATAAAAGAAGCAGTGGGACTGTTGAGGACATTACGTGAGAGTCTTATCAGTCAAAGTTGTGCATGTGGTGAGTGAGGAAGCTGGTCTCTGGCCCAGTGCACTTAAGGCAAGCGGATTAGGCTCCAGAGTATTATTAGAGCTACTGATTATCCCCTTACCTGATCTGCCTAATTCTAGTTCAAGGCTATTTATTTAGCAGAAAAAGTGGGAAAAAGTTTGGTTTGGGCTACAGAAAGTGAATTGGTCTCGCTGCACTTGAGCACTCTGAGTCCAGCAGTTCTCTGCTGAACTCATTAGGTCTTGGCCTTTTTTGACGCTGCCTCCCCCGCTGTGAGGTTCATGTGATTAATGCACTGCTGACCACTGCAGGCCAGCAGCAAGGACTTGTTTTAGTGCCAAAGAACAGCAAACAAAAGAGAAAATTTTCTCTGCAAATAACCAAGGAGAGTGGTCTCAAAAGTGACCAGTCCCTTGACTCATTGATGAATACAAGCAGCCAAATATCTCCACAAGAAAGTTCAACACAAAGGTTTCAAATCCATTCATCCTCAAGTCTAAAGCTGTTATGCATTTGTTTGGATGTAATTACACACCCACCGCCTCTGACCTTGTGCCCAGAGAAAGGCTTTGAGGCCTGCATCCTCGAGTGGGAGTGAGGAATCAAATGTGAACATAAACTGATAAATCCTGCTAACTGATCATACAAATCCTTGTAAAAGAACTAAAAGTCAAAATATATTGGTGGTTTACTTTTCTTGCTTTATTTTTTTTTTTAGTGAGGGACTAATCAGTGATAAGAGGAGGCAGGAACCCACGTGTGATCCAGTGTGTGTCTGTTCTGTACTCTTAATCTCCCACCGAGTATTGGGACAACTGCCAGAGCCAAGCTTAACTGCCACCTTGTCCACAGCAATGTTCTGAAGAGCTGCTGTACATGCTTCCTGTTCCAGTATCCAGACTATTTCAGTTAGCAAGCATCACTAGGATAGAGTAGTCCCAGTGGCAGTTTGCTCGCATTTTCCAAAGTACTACAAAATATGTTTAGGTTTAATGTTCTAGCTACAAGGGTCTTTTCTGCATAAAGTAATTTTTGACACCCCAAAGAGATTTTAACCAAATAAATAAATAAATAACCAGTACTGGAATTAAGTTATTTTTTAGCCTGTTTTATAAATTGGGATTACACATGTATTCCCTGTAGCCCGTGTTCTCTATTAATAATGAATGTCTGTACTGTGCAAAAGGAGGGCCTAAGAAAGGAAAGGGTCTTACACATTAATATAATTTTTTTCTTTTTTTTTCAGATATATAATATTCTAATGTTTTGGGAAATATAGTGTTAATTCCATATTGCATTTTGTTGGCTTTTTCAAAAGTAAGCAATGTCAATGTAACAAATTTGTCAATAATTAATTTTCAGTATGATTTTCTGGATATGTATTTGTCTGACACAGACTTAAGGGATTTTCTAAAAGGGTAATAAACAAAACCCCACTAAGCTTACATGTCGTAATCTCCATTATTTAATTATCTTCTGTCCCTTTTGAACTGTGCGGCAAGCTCTGGAGCTGTGACTGATACATTATCAATTCATTAAGTTGTTATGGCTGACATGTTAGAAAATATTTGCTTATTTATACAACCAGTGAGCATGGAGGAGTAAAGGCATTCATGTGAAGTTGAGTTTCTGGCTACCTGATGAATCATTTGTTTGGTATTTGTCAATACCCTAGGGAAATATCAGGTTTTTTAAAAGCTAAAGGCCTCGATTATATGTTTACACGAGCTCACACCTACCTTTGTCTGGGCAGGCAGCGTATAGTTCTTCCTCAGAGCAGTTTCTCATTTGGACTAAATTACTCTATAAAGTGAAAGATGTCGCTTGTACTGATGAACCCTCAGAGGATAATTACCAGCTGCAGCAAGGAGGCGTTTTCAGTGCGTGCCTATCTCATCTGCTGCTTCTGCCCTTTCTGGCTCTCCCACAGCGGCATGCTGGCTGCTGTCCTCCTCCTCATGTTAGCTATAGATATCTTTTTCTGACCCTCATTTGCTTTAGCTGCCACATCAGTGCTGGCTGAAGCATGGAAATACTGAAATAAATAATTTAAGTGGTAAGCTATCACACTGGTTGGACTTTTGGATATTCTCCTGGACACTTTATGGACTCTGTTTAGTTAAAAACTCTGGTTCAGACTATGTCTGGATCTCAGTAAGCCCTGAGCATCTGAGTTAAATAACTTTAGCAATATTTGATTGCAGGTCTAGTTATTAACAGTTAATAACAGAGTGCTAATCTCCTCAAACCATATCCGACCTGACTGCTTTGCTCCTTATTTGACACACTTGACTGTAGATTATTGAAGGTAATATGGTTATGGAAGTGAATTCTGTTTTAGTTTTTAATGCCCACCCACCCACGCACTTTCTTTCTTTCTTTCTGGGTATAAACATGTTAATAACTTATTTGAGGAGTAAGAGCATTGTCAGACTTTGATGTACCAGTTTTGAACAAACTTGTGTCTTTTATGATGATGTCACCTGTCGCTATGTGGAGAAAGACCAATAATAATCCTTCCTTCAGTGCATGGTAATACATTCAGATTGTGTGCACTACAAAGAAGGACTATTCACAGAAAGTCAATGTGTCAGTCTGTATTTGTGTATGTGTGTGAGAGCAGGTCAAGAAGAAGCTGAGCAAAATTGTTTCCTTGGATGCAGCTCAGCACTGGAATAAAACCGTACCCTTTTAAATAGTAAGGAGATCAAAAAATCAATACATGGCAGTCGAGGTTGCTGCCACAAATAATTTAGTGTATGGATAACACTGACCTGGTCGCCACATATATTTAGGCATTTGTTAATATACGTAGGCAGCCTGCACGAGTAAAAAGTGAAGCAAAACAGAGCTAAACACAAAGTCAATTTTAGACCCACCAGAGTCTAGATGTCAATATATGCTAATTTTGCTTAGTGCCTGCATCAAATGTAATACAATATAAATATCGGTTTTACAAATTGTTGATAGGATAATATTGTGTTTACAGCTTGCTGCGGTGCCCTTAACGGCCAGACAGGTTTTAGTACCGCTTTAAGACATGATTTTGTTTTATATTACAATATAGATGCCTAATTAGAGTTGTAACCCTTAATTTGTTCTTCTTTTTACAGTGTCCAGGGACATGAAACTCAATCCACAGCAAGCTCCATTGTATGTAAGTATCACATAATCACACAACACTAGCAGCAAAGCTGTTGTTCCAGTTCACATAATTATTTTTTCTTTTAACGCTTCTGCATTCACGTGCTGTGTAGGTGTGGTGGTGAAGGCGCTCGATCTGTTGAACCCGTTAGGCCGGGAAACCGTAATTCTTTATCAGTATTTGTTTACATGGTTTGATGATCTCATATAATGCCTGGAATGTCAGTTCTTGATTTCCACCTCTCCACCTGATAACAGGTCTAATTAACAGGAACAACTGAAAACAGCTGTGTGGGTGTGCAGGACCAGATAGTGGAGAGCATGCTGGACTGCATGCAAATGAACTAAATGTTTAATGTTTGCTGACTGGAAAATGGTCTATACTGTTTTTACTGTCCGCTTTTATGTCTGAGGTCATCATTTTGCATGTTGACACACTGATGATGAAAAAGAAAGAAAATAGACCCACATAACTGAGTAGGAAGTGAATGACAAGAAATATTACAAGACAGCATAAAAGTAATTTTTAATCAATTTTTTAAATAACATTTAAGCACTGTGGCTTCAGTCAGAATAAAACCTTTCACTCCTGGAAGTGTCTTCTTTGATCCATTCATTTTTGAAGAGATACACATCAGGAATACCCTAACCTAGTGTTGTGTAGCTTTGAAGTACATAGGTATCTTAACCACCTGTTATTATGTCAACGTTACAGAGATAAATAGATGAACATTCTCAAAGACAACCAGCTTTCCAAACATCCCTTTGTTCATGATAAGTTGATCATAGCCATTCATAGTCATACTGTTTTTTTATTGACGAGGAGATACGAATGCCTTTAGGGTTGCATCAGGAAGAGCATCCGGCATAAAAAATTCAGCCAAATCAAACATGCAGAGCTCCCCGCTGTGGCGAGCCCTTGTGAGCAGCCAGAAGTAGGTTTTTATATATTCATCAATTCATTCATATTTTAACCGCATTGACGAATGTTTGGGATGTCAAGGCTGCAGGTTGAGTATGTTGCCCCTGATATCCTTTGCGTAGAGACGTTTTCCATTTGTGACTACATAAAACAATAGCTAAAGGTGCTGTATGCTAATCATTACAAATTTCTGTGCAGTTGTCTGCTGGAATAAACTAGCTGGCGAAAACATGTGGCGAGACACTGTTTCTAAATGACGGACATAGCCATTGTGATGCTCAGTGTGGGCATTTTGATCATTGCTATGTTGATTTTTGGAGCACGAAGTTAGCACGTTTGGACGTATTAAAACCATATTTGGGTACAAATGAACAAGCTGGACATTGGAGTCTGTTGGGAGTGACTCTTGAAGATGGTCTCAAGCGGCCACTACACAATGGCTTAACTTTTTAACCCTGGAGCTTGCTGCTTGCTTGAGTCTCTTGTCATTCTCGGTCCTTTGTCCCGTCCTTTGGAGCGAGGCACCTGTGTGTTTTGCTTCAGCGAAGTCACGTGAGGTAGATCAAGTAGATGAGATGTAGCTTGTTGCTGAGGTCGTCTCAGATTGCCGAACTGTGTGGCATATCATGTGGGTTATGTCAGCAGTTTTCTAGCTACTTTCATTGTCGCTGCCTAAAGCTTGGCAACACAGCTGGTGTTCAACTTGTAAATGTAACGCTTTGCATTGTTGCTTATATTGCTGATCAGGCCATATGGCTTTTTCCACTCACTCCTCCTTTTAAGTTCAATCAATTTCATGATCCTTTTAGCTGCTATTGTTGTTTTGGAGATGGTGAGTTTGCATAATGGTGTAAAAACAGATAACTTGGCTTTACTTAAAAAAACTAAATAAAATAAATGAATAGCAATTCTGCAAACTTGCTTAAAAAAGAGTAGTCTTTATTTAAGGGAGGGAATTATAATCTTTATTTTGAGTGTGCATCGCTTAAGGAGGATAAGCCACATTTGCGTCATTTAGTATTTTAAAGTAAATTTAAACCCACTTTATACAACCTTGGTTTTACAGATAACTCAGTATCTGTAATTAAACTACAAAACCTAATATAGATATGGTTACATGCACCACTTCAAACTGATTGGTACATGTCAGTGATATATGCAATCCCTTAATATTTAAATTTTCCATTTATAGCTCATTTATAACTCTTAATTACTGACTTTTGAATTGCGTCCAAAATGGACTTCCAGGTAGAGTTAAAATGTCTTTGAGTTCTACCGGGGTTTCTGCACTATTTGATAAATATTTAATGAGGTTTGTGTTTTGAGGGGAGTTTCTGAGTTGATCTTAGTGGTTACACTGGTCTCCTATCACTGGCAGGTGTAGAAGGCACATAGGAAATGAGATAAGTGAGGGATGTGTGTGTTTGTGTATGTGTGCCTCTCTAAAGGCTATACTGGCTCACACATTAACCACCCAGACAACCTTATCTGTGATTTACACTCAAACTCCTCAGTGGAACCAGGCAGGCAGTCAGGCCTCATTAGACATCAGATTTTAGAAACTTATCACAGCAGTTCACAGTGAGATAGCTCATAGGGGTTAAGTAGCCAGCCTGTAATTGTATCGTTAAAAAAAGAAAAAAAAAGATATAGTTCATGGGCTCTACCTTCTAGATGAAATGGCAGCCCCAGTCTATAAGTGTAGAACTAAATCTAGAAGTTACATATTCTGAGAAGAACAGAGGTCAAGGCCTTGATATTCTTGCAATATTACTTTGTCCTCAGAAGGATTCTTAATGAGCATGTTATGGGTAAAGAAATTGAGTAAGGGCTGATTTTATTTTAGCGAGCGCTGGGAGAGGGTTACATGATTTGTTAGGCAGGGGATTAGTTGTGGGTGTTCTTAACAAAATGAGTTTTCTTTCCATAACAGCGAGACTCTGTTGTTCTAGCTGTGAGTAAACATGCTATTTACATTCTTGGCATTTAGCAGACAATGTTTCCAGAGCGGCTTACAATTAAATAAGCAGGTAGGGGTTCAGTGGTTAACACAGCATGCGTGACTGTGGGCATGGTACCAGTTACATGGGCTGAACCTGTGAACTGACTGCTTGGTTATTGTCTCCAGGTTAAAGCTTCTCTGGATAACTACAATTATACTATTTTTTAATGGCATCCAGAGCCTTTAAATGAATTGCAGCCAACATTCTATAGCTGGCATATTGAGATGGCATGTATCAATACAGCCAAAATGGTTACGAGACGTACACACACTGTCATGAAGTATGTCGGACTGTTTTATGTACTGGCTTTCATGTGTAGTCATGAGAAAAAGGAACGTTTTCACTCTATGAAGTAGGAATTAAGAGGGTAAGTAGTAGCCAGGTGCTGCTAATCAGCACGTGATTAACTAACCATCTGCAAGAATGACCATCTCTGTAAAAACAGACGCTTTAGCCGTTTGCCAATCTCTGAACATTCAGACATGTTTTAACACAGCAGGACAATTTTTCCAGACTGGACATCTCAGGAAATTCACCAGAAGTTGGGTCTGTGTAATGCTCAGAAAAACTGCACATAAGCCAGTTTGTGACATTGTAGTTACAAACAGAATGAGCAATTGTATGAAAGGGTTACCTGAAGAACGCCTCTTTTTTCTGAAACAAATATGGCAGCATGGCTTAGGTGTGCAAACTTGCAAGATGTTTGCCAATTTGGAGATGTTTGTCCATAATAAACAGTGCCAACCAAACCAAACACAGCATATCAGCTCTTCATACCAGTTGTTAAGTGCAGTGGTTGATGGTTGATAACTCGGGCTTTTTTGCAGTCTAAGGATCTGAGCACTTTGCAGTCATGGAGTGAGCTGTGAATTCTTCTATGTACCAAAGTATTCTAGTCAAATGTGAGGCCAGCTGTCAGACAGCTATAGCTTGGCTGAAAATGATCCCAAACACAGTAGCAAATTTACAACAGAATAGCTGAAAAAGAAAAGTGTTGCAATCGCCCAAAGTGCAGACCTCAGTCGGGCTGAAATGTTGTTGTGGGACGTTAAGGTATGCATAAAGCTAAGCTGTAAAGAAGAGTCGGTCAACATTTCCCCACAAAGGTACGAGAGCCTAATAAAATGATACAGGAACTGATAACTTCAAGTTATAAAGGGAGTTCTATAAGCTGTCCTGTGAGTACTTAGTTTTCAAAGCAATAAAGAGACCGCCATAGTGATTTCTTGATTATTAGCATAATAAAGACAAAATTGACTTTGAAATGATAAAGCTGCACATGCTGGGAGATTACAGATTGATAGCTAACAGCCAGTGTTGTATTGCTCTTGGCTGCTACTGTGGGCTGTGGGTCATACATACATACACATTTACTTTGCACTGTTATGTGCATGCTGCTAAATTCAATACCATTTGACACAGTACACAAGTTAGTATCATGAATGACATTAACTGGTGAAGTTATCTGGTTTAGCTTTTGTGACCTATTTGTTACATTGCCTGTATCTATATCAAGCAGTAAAGCAACCTCAGGGTTGGACATTTCAGGCAAAAATACTTTCTGATTTTCACTGTTGGCAGTATAGTATTAGGATTATTGCCCAAAGATTGTCCCCCAGAGCAGACTGCTCTAAAATCAGTGTGACATGTTAGCTTCACCTGGAGTAGCCTGCGTGATATTTCACATTTTTGTTCTTATTTAAAGGCGTCCCACACAAAACAGCTTTTCTTGGTCTGACGGATGGTAAGTTTGAGCAGTTTCTTTTTTTCTTCTTTTTTTTTTTGTGGGCAAACAGTTTATAGGTTTATTTTTTGTTAATGTTTTAATAGCACATTAAACCAGACTACAGGAAAAATAAGGGGGGGGGGTCTTTTAGATTAGAATTAAAATAGCTGCATAAACTATTAGATTTTTTTTGTATAAATTAATATCCCAAAAATCCCGTCCCTTGCTGCGTGAATGTGGCAATGGTTTGTTTGTAACATTTGTAATAACGTAAACAGTCAGTCAGTCACAGGACTTCCTTACGCCTTAGTCATGCTGGTATTTTGCTCCACGAATTTCTGGCTAAAAGAAGTTTTGCCCCAGTTTTACTGACATTAATATTTGGCCAGAAGGGTTTCATTTGATACAACTAGGTTTAATATACATTATCCTAGCTAACATTAGCTTACTTGCTAACTCTGATGATCTGCTAGTTACACCGTTTGTGAAGCTCTAATTTTTTAGATTATGCTGCAGTCAGTTCACATATTGGCAATACAAACATTTCATTGCATGAAGAATGCTGCTTGGTGCATGTTTACCTCCTGAAGGGACAAGGGATGCTCTGTATGTCAGCAGACTTGTAAGTTGTGGGTTGCTTAATTTGCTCTGCCAATGTTTCATGTTAGTGTGTAAACAGGGGCCGGTTTTGCTCCGTAAATTGGCTTTGAAATTGTATGTTGGGAACAAAAGCAGCAAGGGGTAAACCATGCAAAAGGTTGCAATATATGGCTTCCAAAAGAAGGGTCTCATGTTGAGTTGGCTTTAGTTGCTTGTAAAAATAAAAATGGCTTAATACCACGAAGGATGAATCACAATGACAAGCAATTACACCCATAAACTTTGAGGCTAACTTTTTAATGAACATCATTAAAGGATGTTTTTTTTGTTGTTGTTTTTAAAAAATGTGTTGTTATCGCAGATTTCATGTGACAGAGTGCACAAAAAGATACAAATGAAGATCTATTGGATTTAAGTAACAAGTGACAATTAGTTTGGGTGGTGAAGTGAAGGATAGAGCTGCCTGTAGTAAGAAACAAAGCCTGAGTTAAGTGAACAATCACTAAAATTTCAATATAAGTTTAAAAATAATTATCAGTGTGAAGTCGTAACAGTATATGCAAATGCTTAAAACCAAGCCTTACCTTACCTGGACAGATGAAACCAGCGCTGCAGCAGGATGTGTGGAAAAGGCTACACGTATATGCATATTTAAAAAGAGGGGGTTGGGTTCATAGTCTCCAGCTGTGCTTTTGATGCTGCTTAAAAGCTGCCTGTTCCCTATTGAAGCTCCATGATTAGCAGGTCAATACCCCAGCAGGTCACTTAGTTAAGTACTTATAACCAGCAGAGAGCAGTCATACAGTGTGGCTGAAAGACATCCATTTGAGCACCGCTTTAAAACCACAGGTTTGTTTTTCTATATTAAGCTGGAGAGTCACTGCAATATTTCCTTTTTCCCATTTTAATTACTGTTGTTTTGAAAACTTAATGTCAGCAGGGTTAGTTTTATTGTGGGGCTTCTGTGTGCTCGTTTCCTCCCTTCTCCAGCAGATGTTTCACATCTCTGGCTTTTCACCTTCACCTTCACTCCCACCTCCTGCCGACATATTTGAAGTACTGGAACTGATCAGATCTGGTTGATCTGATCATTCAGATCTATGCTGTAATTTTCTTCTGTTTAAATAATTGAATTTCAAACACCAAGATTGAATATTCTAAGATTTGTGCTATTTATTTTGTCCCCTTTAAAGTGTTTTTCTTTGTTAGGAAATTATCAATCGCTTATAATGTTATTTACAAAGGTGGGTATTAACTTTGGTGGAATAAGGAGATTTTGGTGGGCTGCTTTAAGAAATCTGAGCACCTATTGTGTCAAAAAGCAGCAGAGTGGTATTCAGACTGAGGTAATTTCCCACTCGCCTCCAGCGATGGAGAGAAAACCATTTCTCCATTTGCTTCTCTTTTGTTCGTTGTGAAAATGTGGAACTTATTTCACACTAATACGTTTTCATTTTCACATGGAGTACAAACTCACAAATCCTCTGAGGTACCAATCCTTTCAATAGCACCAAGCCCTAATTTCCAATCTGGGCTCAGGATAAGAGATGAGTTTTTAATGGAGAAAATGTCATGCCTGCTGGCTTCCTCCCATCTACTACTCATTTACTTCAGTGACTCTGCTTTTTAAAACTGATACTGGCTGTGCATAGAAAAGCCTACACCCTTTACATTGTGCGCAGTCCTGGTTGTCTGAAGGTTACTGAAGACTTTTTTTCTGGCTGTATGGCCTCTGGGCTATGTGGTTGTCTTTGAGCACATTTTGCCCCCTCACATTGTTAAGCATCAGTAGTGGCTTGCCAAACAGAGACCTTGCAATGTTGGGGTTGCTGGTTTGCCTCGCTGCTGTCCACCTACTGATATCCGCCTGCGAGGAACATGGCCCGGAGGCTCCCATTTTATAAGAGAAGGAGGAGACCCCTTTAACCCCGTTAAGCTCAGATCGTCACGACAGACTGCTCACGTTGGACGAGGCCAGTAAAAAGACTGCAACGGTGGCCAGATTAAGTGGGTTGAAATGTCCCATTATCCCTCCTCCATGTCAAGAAGCTGCAGTCCTACAGTGGAAAGCAGCTAATTCTGAACAATATCCCTATTTTTTGTTACTATTTCTCCTCCTCAGTGTCCTCAGATGACACATTGATGCTCTGTCACAAATCAGCCAATTGTCACTAAAACTGTACCTTTAAATGTATTAAGAAAATGTGTAGACAAATTGATGGTTTGGTTTATTTTATTTTATTTAGTTTATTGGCCAGTGGCAGTGTACAATAAATACCAGTTATAAGTTAAATTTCACCTGTAATTTCTGGTTGGAAGCATTTAATGGTGGAAAAACAAAATCCTGCGTACTAAAAGAGCCATGGCAATGCTGAACCCCAAGGCACAAACTTAGCATCTGCACCTGCTGATGATGCAGAATACATGAAAAAGGACAAACAGCATAGTTTTTACACTGACCAGGCTGTGTTTTTAGTACCATCCTGAACCTATTTAGCTGCTTAGCTTACACTGTGGTGTTTATTTCATTACGTATATTTTTATTTGTAATGTTCTAACAAAAAAGGGCTAATAGGAAATCCAGCTTACATGAGAAGACTGTTTATTCAAATTTCTTTTTTTTAAAGACTTTTGTTTTAGTTGTTGTTGTGATGATTATTATTGTATTAGATTTCTAAGCTGAATGTGCTTCTTTGTCTTGTTGTGCTGTTCTCTGATGGTGACTGTGCTCACACTGTTTTGCAGAAGTCCAGCTGCTCCTCCATGTTGTCTGCTTGTTTCTTTGTTAATGATGTGGTGTGTAACATTTCATCAGCAAACAAACATTACCATATTTAATTTGAGGCGTTAATGTAATTGCTGTAAACAACTGCGGTGCTAAGAAGATCAGGAGTCTCCGCACGCACTATTATTCACTCTTAAAATCTGGTATCCACTTGTCCAGAGTCTAGTTCACACCTGGTACTGCAGCCAATAAATGCATCTAAAGTGACAGACAGTGATTGAATTACACTGACTTGATGGCGTTAGATTGGTATCTATGGCTAAGTAGATGAACCAAGACATGTAGGCCACTGAGAAGAGGGCTGAGTTAGACTGCAGGCATCTGCAGGTGGATGATAATGTGCCCATTTCATGTTATAAACATGTCTTTTCTTTTTGTCTCTTTCTGTTTTTCCTTTTCCCTCCTAACGTTCCGTCTGCGTGCCTCTGCAGGGTCATTGTGTTATCACAGTACAGCTCAGTGATGACGAGCTGGCTGGTAGTGAGGAGGGCGTGGACTACTTCCTGCTGTTCGCTGGCAGTACACAGAGGCACCTGACCAGCACCCTGAGGAGCAGTCATGACACCTTGCAGGCTTTGTGTCCCGGTAAGCCATCGTACCCACAATGCCTTGCAGCTTACTAGCACCCAAAGGATGGCAGCTCCACCTACAGCATTTAATATTTGTTAGAGACTGTGTTTGCAGACACTTTTAAATAAGATTAGCCTGGATTATTAACAACTAAAGCTGATGCTCTATGAAAGTGCACCAGCTGTTTTATTTAGGAATGTTTTGTTAGTATCTCGTTGGGCCGCCTCATGCCTTAAGAACTGCTGACGTAAATTCATCAAGATGTTACGTCTGTGTCAGCAAATGGAGATTTTGGCTCACACTGGCATGACAGCATCACATAGTTACATCCGCGATACATTCCACCACATCCACACCACAAGTGCTCTGTTAGATTGAGATCTTGTGCCTGTGGAAACTATTTAAGTATGGTGAACTCATTGTCGTGTTCAAGGAACCAGTTGGAGCTGAGTTGATTTGAGCTTTCTGGCAGAACATCTTATCCTGCTGAAAAGAGCCTTCAGAAAAAGGTGTATGTTGTGGTCATAAAGGGATGGACAGCAACAAAACATGGGTAGGCTGTGGTGTTTGATGCTCAGCTGTTACTAAAGAGCCCTGAGTCTGCCAAGAAGAGCCCGAATCATTGATAAAAGGGAGGATGTTTGCTTTTGTTATGTTTACACCAATTCTGACCAGTTTCTTAACTGACAGGACTGGCACCCAGTTTGGCTCTCTGCTGCTATAGCCCATCTGCTTCAAGGTTTAATGCATTTCACATGCAGCGATGCTCTTTTGCCCAGAGAACTGCTGCTCGCTTTATATTTTACTTACCATTCTATATAAACCCTAGAGATGGTTTTGTGGGAAAATCCTAGTAGATCAACAGTTTCTGAAATAATCAGACCAGCCCATTTTGAACAACCATGTTCAAAATCACCTAAATCACCTTTCTGACACTCAGTTTGAACTTCAGCAGGTTGTCTTGACCATGTCTACATGCATAAATGCATTGAGTTGCATTTCCTCATGATTGACTAAGTAAATATTTGCATTAAGAAGCAACTGAACTTGTCTATCGAACAAAGTAAATGTATTTTATCCCCTTACTTGTCACTTTACTTTAGCACCTGTCCACTTTATTGTAATTCAGTACAGTATCAGCATTTACATACATGAAAGAGCACCCCCAGTAATTTGACCTCATTTCTAAACCTTTATAGCCATCATAAAAGTCGACTTTATGGCAGATCACTTGTATTGTATTTGTGTATTTGAGTCAAAACGTAGTAGCAGTGCTCCAGAAGAACTGAGGAAAAGTTTGAACATTATCTTAAAAGGTGGTTTTAAATTCTTCTGTATTCATCATGTGCTGCATCCCAAATTAATATTAAAAGAGGTGTTAAACCAGGAAGGAGAAAAAAAAGATTAATCATCTGCTACCGCTGTCCTCATTTTAAACTAATGTTTTGTTTTGGAGAAAGAGGAATCACTTCACTTTCTAGAGTCTATCCCATTTATCACTCCTCTTGGAGCTTTTCCCACTTTTTCTACTTGCAAAATGGAACATATTTGGTCTGAATTGATTTTCTGTGCTTTTTCTTGGAAAATAAACAAGAATCAACAGGAAACCTTGATAGAAAAAGTCAGAGATCTCTGCACATACAAAGTAGGTAGTCAAAACTGCAATGCAGCTGTGACCCTGTGACCAGAGTTCATGTTAATTGAATATTTTCAGTCACTGACTGATCAGAGCATAAGAGGAATCAGCTATGACATTAAGTTATTCCAGACCATCTGGGCTTTCGAAGAATAAATATTACATTATAAAAATCTCGAGCTCTTAGGGAACATCAGAGCTTACTGGAGGTCACATGTTCTGGATGTGGTAACAAGGGTTTATGCTACCAAAATGTTCATGTAATAAAATCTGGTCTTATGATATAAGAAATGTCACTGACGTCATTGCTTCCTTCAATGGTCCACGTTCCACAGAGGAAAATAAAAGTGGCAGGATTATAAACTGTGTTATCTTGGTACGAGTTCCACTAAATTAATGCTTAAAGTTGGGAGGGAGTTGGTGTCACTTTACCAGCAGATTAGCTTTGCTTCAATGCTTTCTCCATCAGGCCCTTCTGGGCTCTAAAGGGATCAACTAGGTCGCGGGATAGAGTTCCCAGGGGACCTGGGAAAATGACTGCAAACTCACTGAATCACTGCTTTGGATTAAGATATCTCTGATTCAAATAATATTTATCAAGCTGCCTAGTAGCCTTCTGACTGCGTTGGTAGCGACATACAACATTGACAAATTATAAAATATATGGATCTGTCGTTACAGAAAGTTTTCTCCCAGAACGAAGGGTATTGCAGACGTGCAAATGTGGCTGATCTTGTTGTAGAGCACACAGTGACGTGGAGTAGATTCCAGAAATTATGTGTGAATTCATGCAATGCTTAATAACTACAAGTGGGAAATCAGTTTTGAAACTGGCTGTGTGTGTTGACATCTTGTTGGGAGTGGACAGATGGACCATGGCAGTGTTCCCTGACTTTCTCTTTGTTTTCTTCTTTTAGACAAAACTGAAAAAATGAGCAACTTTTCAATCTTATTTTGCCAAATTAACACATTTTAAAAAGCAATTGCTACAGTAACACAGAGGATGTCAAAACTGGGGCGGCACAGCAAGGTGAAAAATATAAAGTGAAATGAACTTGAATTTATATGATTGTTTTCTTGTTTTTTAGGGAAAATATGTAGGCTTTTTTTTTCTTCAAAAAAGTATGTCTGTGCAGTTGCACTGATAACATGTACCCACGTTTAGGAGAAATTAACAGTGAATCTTTTTTCATTGTAAATAACCGATGAAAAGTGAGGTGTGCGTTGTGTGTACTTTTTCCTGCTTCTGAAGTGGGCCGTGCCAAAAAAGAGCCACCGCAATAATATATCAAGTTGTCCTCAACTCAAGTAACTTTGTTTTATGGCTTTCTACTCTGCTCGACTATACACTGTGGGGCAAAAGGAGGGGCTTTACACACCGTGTACACTTTACACATGGTGAAATCCAGAGCAGAGGAAGGAAGATAAACTAGTCGGACTGTAAATGATACCAAAACGTAGTAGATTAAAAATGTTATATTTTTAAATTGATTTGACGGGCCTGTTGCTCTTCTCACCAGCTGAGGTAGGCTCCAGTTCCCTGTGACCCAGATTTGAATAAGTGGTTAAGAAAATGAACAAATGCATTAATGGATAAATTGATTTCTACTTAATATATTTCTCTATGGTTTCTTGGGGAGGAAAGTGGGTTCAGAGAGTGAGGTTGAGTTCCCATGTCGGGGGACAGGCACTGCCCCACTCCCTAAGCAATAGTTATGGAAACCACTGTGGACATTAGTGTGCTTTGTTCAGTCTTTGCGATGTGACTTGTGAGTAAATGGCTGTTAGTCAGAAGAATTTAACACATGTTCCATTAAGTGAAATAATATTGTGAATTTATTTGTATTAATTAGGATTTAAATCAGCATTGCAGCTCTGCACTCGTTTGTAGCTCATTACTGTGACAAAATTAGTTCACCATTTCATCCAAGTAGTGCTTCTAAAATGAGAAAAAATTCAATTAATGGAGTGATTAAATTGAATAAAGATACTTTTTTTTAAAGTTAAATTTAAGCTTGATTTCCTCTTATTAGAGCAGATTGAATTAAAGCAATATTTTGATTTATCTAAGAACAGTACAGGTGTTACTAATAACATTAACACCTGACTTGTTAATAATTTTTATTTAATTGTTCTGAGCCAGCATGGACTGTTGGTAATGTGAAATTGAGCTTACAGCACATATTATGTTGGGATTGCCGCATCATCACTTTCTGCGCCCGGTTTAACGCTCCATCATATTTGACCCATTTAACCATAGACTATATGTAAAAGATGAATGCTGCTAACCAGTGTCACCCGATATCCACAACATTAGTGTTTTATATGGTGCCATCTCAAGCCTTGATTATATTTTCGGCATCCACAAACCCATTAGGGTCTGAGTGACATACAGTGGTGTGGACGTAGTTATGCTTGACTGTTTTTTCTTTTTGTGACTACGTGGACTCCTTCATAGGGTAACAAAACCCCAACAACTTTCATTCATCAAAAATTGAAATACAATCTTCTTATACCATTTTATGTTAATATTACATTGAATCAAAAATAGTGAGGTAAGGCTTACTGTTGCAAATAACTGCAGCTGCCTGTAACAGCACATCTTTAAATGAGTTTGTATTAGGGCTGTTCGATATAACCATATATATCGGATGACGATATAAAAACGTCTATCGTTTCATTTTACGATATCGTTTGTTTCGTGGTGTCGCAAAATAAACTCTTTACGGCAATATTTTTTATCGTTTTGATGGTCACTGTAGTGGCTATATTAATTTCTTAAAGTTCTCTCTTTCTCTTATATTTAATATAACCACACCACGGATGGACAAGCGCATGTTTTTATGCGTTGTCGTTAGCAACAACAACGGTAAAACCATCTCGTGTCCGCTTGTTTATGTTCCACATAAACCTTTCACAATAAAGCTCAAGATCCTGTTTAGACTTTTCAAAATAAACTGAATCACGTGAAAGGGCAGATTATTTACGGATGAGAAGTAAAAAAGAGCCGTCAGGTGCTAAAAAATAAACCTTAGACTCAAACGTTAGAACAGGCCTTTCCCCGCAGCACGCCGTGTAATAAATACTCACAAAGAAAACGGCGGCCGTTACAACTTATGTCTAAAAATGTGTCGTTTCATACATCTGTTAAAACACTCGACTCCAGCTACATGACGCGCAGCTGGAAACACTTCCCGCAAGTCGAGCTGCCCGAGATTCACAGAATTGACAAAAATGTTACATTTTTGTGATTTATATCGTTATCGGGACGACAGAATTCTTATATCGGGATATGAGATTTTGGTCATATCGCACAGCCCTAGTTTGTATACCCACTGTATAGTTGCTATGTAGTCAAAAAGTATGCATAGAGACCAAAATAGTTCTTGCCAGCCACTAGTGGCCACTCCAGAAAGTGTAGTTTTCTGGCACTACAGCGTTGACGATGTTTACTTTACTATTAGAGATACTGTCAGTGACCAATATTTCAATTGATTCAGCCTGCATAAGCTGGGTCTCACAACAAGAAAACGCTCAAAACTGAACACAATTCAGCAGATGAGTTTAAAAATTTTGCGTAGAAATATCGTTTATGCATTTTATACCTCATGCAGTGAATCTATTTTAAACCTGCGACATGAACTGTGCAAGTAGCCAATATTGTTGCGATGATTTGTGATAGTTGTGTGGGCTGCATCAACAGAAATATATATACTCTGTAACTGAAGTAACTAAAGTTAATTTCCGCAAGACTGGCATCTGAGGACATCTTAGACCCTACAGTTAGCTGGCATTGTACATCAATAAAGTATAAATAATTAGTTCAAGCAACTAGTGTTTTAGCTAGGGCAATAATTTTTTATTGTTTAGTTTATAGCAAGGCCAGTCATCTATAGCCGAAATGGGTTAATCCTAACAAAGAAACGTTTAATCTCATACACTGAAAATACACAATATAATCTATTTGTCGTTGTGAAAAATGCTGTACACTATGGTACTGTCCTCCACAGGTCAGTTCTCTGTAATCCCCTCTTTCTCTCTTCTCACCCTTGCTTTTTGTGTCTCTTGTAGCTCATGACTGCTGCGAAGTGGTGCTGGTCACCTTGTGCTCAGTCACCCGAGGTGTCCCCGAGGAGCCACAATCCCATCTGGTTCACGTGGCGCCATTCGCCGAGCATCGATTCAGCTTTGTTCAGGATTTGGCGTTTGACATGGCCCAGTTCCTGGTGAGCAGAAAGACGAGTCATTTCTATTCCTACTGCATGTCATCAGTTGAATAATAGAAATACAGAAGCTTGTCACAGGGCTGGAAAACAAAATTGGTTACCACTGGTTACAAGTAATACAGCTCTGTGTACAAAGTGACAGTTAAACAAAAAGATTGCCATGTTATTGTTTCTTTCCTGACAAGGCCTAATGTCTGACAGTTCTTGGCGTTCAGTTAATGAATTCTTTTCAGCATAGTTTATCATCCCATAGAAATTTTATGAGTTTGCTTTTCTGAGGAGTAGGACAAGATAAAATAATTTTCTTGGGCACTCAAACTTAATGGAACATGTTCCAATTTATAAATCCGAACATGATTTTTTATTTATTTTTTGTCAAAACAGTGCATCCCCAAATCGAGCTTAGCGCTGATACACTCATGTGGATGTTTCTTCCTACATTAACATATTTCATTATTCAAAAGGCATTTGGTTAATGCTTTCATGCTGAGCGCTTTAAAATGAGTGCTCCCATTAGTCTACGGCTCACTTCAACCTCTATGAAACTCGACTCATCTCTGTAATCACCCTCTACACAGGTGAGCACTGTGGGCCGGGCTGATGGCCTCGATGGGGCGCTGTTGCTGGATGAGTGTCAGATTCCTCTGCAGGAGTGTGAGCGTCTGGATGAGAGTTTGGCACTGGCCCTACACCACCTCAAACTGCCTACAGGATGGAATTTACTGGGGAACAAACGATCCAACAGCACTGGTGAGTCTGGAGGGCAGTGGACCCTTTGAAACAGGCAGAATGTCTCTACACTGATGCAGGAACATACTGACAAATTATGGTTGTATAACACATACTGACACACATGACCCTGCTGTTTGTGTGTTTGTTTATCTGGCTCCTTTTATGTTGTTGAGCAGATATCAGCAGACTAGGAAGACTGAGGATTATTTTTTGGCATTTTCAGAGAGACACTGTAATTACTGGTCAAAACAACAAGACTTTGTTACTGATTAGTTCAGATGAGTGCATGGATGTAACAAGCTGTTTACTGTCTCCACGTTGTGTGGGTATGTGTGTGCTTTGCAGCATGCGTTACTGAAAGTGACTTCCATTTAACTTCTATCTTTATAGACAAATCTGGTGGATGATTTATATATTGCACTCTCACTCTGGAACACCACCTCCATTACTGCAACGGCAGAGTGGAACTGAACACATTTTACATTACGACAGCGGGAGCACTGATGTTTGGGTTAATCACAGTCGGCTGTCGCCCCTTCTGACAGATGAACTTAGCCTGTGCAACTGTAGAAGTTATCCAGTCTCACAACGCTAGTCTGAAATTGGTTATGACACAGCTTTTGGGAAAGAAATAACATTAAGGTACCGCTTCTGTCTGACCTTCACAGTCTGTAAATTTAAATTGGCTACCTAAACCCAGCAGGAATCATTTCAGCTCCTAGCTTAAAATTTAAATCACTAAACTGTTCGTTCATTTTAAACACAAGAAATCCATCATTTTATAAAAATTGGAAATGTGTGACACTATGAAAGTTTAAATGTACTACTAACTTAGAGGTATCTGTGGTCGCAGCTTATCTCTGTAGAACGATCACTCCCTCTTCAGCAGTTTATGGTTAATCTTTTCTTGGCACTTTGCTTTAAATGTGACTTTGCTTGTGACATTTGCCTTCCACTGTTCTCCCAAATTTCTGTTATTATTAACTTGCTGTTGTGGAGCTTATATATGCGACCTGAGACCATATCAGACATGTTTCCGCATAAATGCAACCACAGTATTATACCAGCTGTTGTTGAATCTGGCATTCCATTTTCATCTGAACCACATAGCTGTAAAGTTTTTTGATTTGCTCTTGCTGTGCTGAAACAGTGGTATCATCTGTCCCATGACAGTTGTATAAACACCTAGAAAATTGTCCAGAACCCCCTTTGTTGTAGTTCATGCTGTATTACGTCTCTTATTTTGCCCCGAGGACACATGCATAAACACTCACAGACCCACAAAGTGAAAACAATACTGACTAATCCATCAGCTGATAACACGGCTACAACAGAATAAAAAGGGCAATTGTGGAACTCTCTGTGGGTGGAGATGAGGATGGACTTTTGGTCAGAGATGCGAAGGAGGCAGTACTGTATGTTCCAGTTATTTTTCCTGGAGTACAAAAAGAGATATTGGCTGTTTATTGTGGAAGTTTGGTTTAGATGTTTGCTAGTGCGATCTACATGGACGGTGCTCACAGATAATATCAGGGGAGGATTTGAAACAGCTGTGCGCAGAATTTGACTTGAGGCAGCAGAAAGAACCTGCTGTCGGACATGGCAGGAGGTGAGCCTGAGGTCTGGAATTGATGGACAGAGATTTCAACACCATTGCTTACTTGCCAACTAGAGGGTTGTGCATTTAAGGGTTGAAACACCCAGTGAAGATTTGGTACCACTTGACACCATCCTCTTCAGCTGCACATACTGAAGTAGTGTCATCTTGATTTTATGCAGTAAGTGATGATATCATCAGTTAAAAATCCAATGCAGAAGTGCAAATCTAGCTTTGACCAGACTTGCTGTCAAAATACACATTTTTCAGGTAGCAGAGAAATTTGATCAACAAATTGGCTAATATATGGATGTAAACCATTTTTACTCAAAAGATGAATTCCTGATAGTTTGTCTTAAATCTTCCATTGACTTGACACTGCCAGGTAGTGTCTTTAATAATGTTGTGTATTTTCTTTGTGCTAATGTCAATGTGGTCACAGCAGATGAAGTCTTATTCATCCACTGAAGAGTGTTTGAGGAGGAGCATTTCCTAGATACAAATAATGTTTTAGGTGCTTTTTGAAGAGGATTTGGGAATTAAAAATCCAAGACCTCCAAGGCATTTAAAAAAAATTACTTAAAGGCACTCAAACGCCTTTATTCTCTTGACATGGTCATATTCAACCTAAAAAGGATCAGGTATTGGGTAGTTAAAACCAGTTTTATTCACAAATAAAGGGTTTAATGCTGAACATTTTTTTGTAGAAATATGAGTATGCCATAAGAATAATGGCAATTTAAATTTTCTACATATTTATTGTGGTCTCTCAGTTTAAACTGTGATCTCAGGAGTATATTTCTGGCTTAACAGCAACCACATCCACCTGCTTTTCACTCTTGAGTTTGAGAGGTGCAGCCAATCAGAAGAGGGCTGGTTTAAAGAGTGCAGAGGGAGCTCAAACGTTGTGTTTTAGACTGCGGATGAAGGGCCAATATAAAAATTTATTATTTTGTTTTTTGTCACTCATGCAAAGCTACTCTGGGAGAATCCAACAGTAAAAATCCTGGAGCTGCAAATGAGAATCATAGATGTGCTAAAAAGCTTAACATGAAAGCAATAAGCAATGAATATATAAAAATTATATATTCATTATTATTTATTTATATTTGGATATTTATTTTTAAGAGCTTAATAATATACGACAGGTGCTTTCAAAGTATCCCAAAATAAACATTTGCAACATACCATTTATGGCTTGATTGATACCAGAAGCCCTCGAGTTGCTTCAGTTTGTCATCACACTCTTTCTTCGGGGTGTCAGATGCATGTGAAGTGCCATTCTGACACAATCAAAGAGCAACTTCAGGTCTCTCACAGTGAGCTTATGCAGTTGAAAGCAACAGCTGACACCGTTACATCATCGCCTATGTGTGTTCATTTTATCTATAAGAAATATTTCTGTACTTGGATTATTCACACTGGTCTACAGCCTAAATGCTTGTGAAATAAATGTAATCACACTTTAGTAATTTGGCTCACTGAAAGTGAAAGTGACACTTAAAACTGGTTGGGTTGGCTCTAGTCTTCATGATATGCCACGAGGTTATGTCTAAGACTAAAAGTTATTTGTTGGAACAAAAATGATTGAAGCACATGTTTACTGGTGAATTTTGGCAAATAATTTCAGAAGGCCACTTATTTAAGCTTCCAATTTTGATTAAGTTTCTATGACTTATAGGTGTCAGGTATGAAATGTGGCAGATTTCAAATTGTTTATTAGCTCTGTTTGACTTTTGGCCTCTGTTTTGACCTTGGATTTGACCTTCCTAGCAGCAGGACTGTAAAGTTGCATTTTTTTTTTTGCATCCCCTCTTTTTGTTCCCTGCATTGTAAAATAATTGAAAAAAGGTTTGTCATGGAGACATCCATAGACAGACATGTGGTGAAGATGATCAAACCAAAATGTCAACATTTTATAATATTTGGGCTAACTGATGCAAGCGACATTTCTCCATGTGACAACATCCCACCTAGGCCCAATATCTTGTCCTTGTCTTTCAAATATAATGGGTCATGTTTAGCTTTTCTCTATAGACCTTTGTTACATGATGAACAAAGGTGCTGTATTATCATATGAGGTGACCGTGTGCAAAATGTAAAGATAGTGAAAATAGTGGCTAGTCAGCTGTTTTAAATGGTCAAAATAAAGACGTAAACAGCAGGTTTGATCTCCAGAGCAGAAAACTCCAGAGTTAAAATAGAGTGCGTGTGTTCAAATACGTACATTGTATTTGAACACTGGTGTATTTACAGAACACGCCACTACACGGATTTATCTCTAACTCTGGTATTAGTATGAACAAATAGAGCTGAGTATCCCTTTGCTGAAGCCTGAGCACTTGAGGTAGTGAGAAACTGCTACATCAGTGGAAACAAACATACACTTTTATTAAAATCAAAGTGCCAATTTTCTCCAGTCATTGACTCTGACAACTTTAATCAGTTAAAGGAAGCCAAATGAGCCAATGCAGATGATAAACTCTGCGAGGTAATTGCTCTCTGTGAAACGACATAAACAAGACTTTTGGGAGTAGTTAGAGCGCTGCCTCAGCCTCTGGCTATTTCTCAGATAATAGCTAATGGTTAAACTTGGATTTGGATATTAGACCAAACCAGAAGAGCCGGCAAGATTTTAGACAAAACTGACTGGAAAAAAGAAAAAGCTGGGAAGACTGGAGTAATGTGGAGTGGAGATCAGAAAAGCTCACACACTTCTTAAAATTTTGAGTTTGTTATTGTTCTAGGAAGAAAACTCGTCATATCAAAAATGAGCTTATCAGTATTGACCTTCATCCCGATTAGATCCGATCCACTTGTTACTGTGAAGTGTGTCAGAGCGCTTTAACGATGGACACACACGTACAGGCTCCTTTGCATTGAAGTCAGTTGTCATGTTGTTGATGTGGAAGGCGCCTTCATGCTGTGGTGAGTGATGTGTGCTCTAATAGGCTCTGCTTCACAATATGTCACAGCTTCAATACAAGACGCTCAGCGGTGCCGAGCCGCGGGGAGGGAAGAGGAGCGCGACTCGGCTCTCCATTTATCAGATCTGTCAGATGATGGATAGCATTAGACTATAGGTGGAGGTGACGGTGCTTCATCTCAGTCATCCTTCACGCTGTGGGCACGCAGCACTCGCTGCTCTAACTGTAGCCACCCATTTATTGTCGTCTGGGAACGTCACCTGGAAAAACTGCGCATATCATTAAAGATGGTTGACAGTTCCCAACTGATTCCTCGGTTTTGAACAGGTGCATTTAGTGTCAAATTATCTAAAGCCCGTGGGTTGTCAATCAGTGCCATTAAAGTAGATGACTCAATGATCTGTGGCCTTTAAATTCACTAAAGTCAACTAACAGAACTGTTGCATAATGTATTAGTTGTTTACTTCATTCATCAATAAGACAAAGAGCCTGCAGCCCTGCTAACAATTCGGTTAGGCCCACCATTCTTCCTGATGTCAAAGGTGAGATAATAACACTTACATAGGTTGTATAATAAAAATTGTATTCAGTTTAGTTTAATGTTTTTGCATGCGAACTAGGGCCTGATACAGATATCAGCTGATGCCAATTTGTTAATTTATTTTTGTTTTTCCTCCCTTTGTGCCAGTGAAGCAAGGAAATCCTCACTATAGAAAAATAACTGACCCGTTTTAACCTCTTTCACCTTTTCATCACATTTAACCGCTAGCAAAATTAAGGTTCAGTGCAGAAATTTGCTCATTACCACAAAGTCTTTCTAAGGTTAATGGGTATGTTTGTTTGTGTTTTTGTTTTGTTTTTTTACTGATGCTATTGGACAAATAAAATTCTGATCTGAAGATGGCGCTAGATGAAAATCAGGTGATAATATCCTGGCAAGTATTCTGACAGTTGTTAAATCATTTCACACGACCAAAGTCTGTATTCATTCTATGATTGTACCAGATTTTCTGCCTTGTAGTTTTTGAGAGCCACTATCAAGGCTAAAAATTGCTTTTGAATTTTGAGGATTTGCTGCTTTCCTCTGTTTTCTCTCCAAAGCTATCTACAAAAGTAAAATGTCACTTTTGGGTAAAGGATTTTTTTTTTGGCTCATTTCCCTGATGAATAACTATACCGAATAATTGGGGAATCAGCAAGAAGCCAGGATCTCTGCCAGGAAGCGGTGAAGCTGCTTTGTTGTGACCAATCATTCATTGAAGCCACATTGTGTTGGTGATTTCTGTCCCAGATCAGAAAGCTAAAATGGCATGTATATTCTAGCTGGCACTCATAATATGAAAATGACATGGCTGTTATGGCAGCCAGTTTTGAGGAACCGCAAACAAACCCAGCAGTAAAGCATTTCCTGCTGCTGTTGGCACCTCACATTCCACACCGGCCCAGCTCGGCCAAGTGGAGCATTAAATTTGACCAATTAGCTTGAGGTTGATCAGGGCAGGCTTGTTCATAAAGGCCCACAGTAAATGGACTGAAACCTCTCATCAGCAGACACAACCAGCATTGTGAATGTTGCCTAACGATTATTGTGATGCTGATAACACCAAGGAAAATGTGTTTTCTGCCCCTTTCCCTGTTCTCAAGCATTTGTTCTGCAGTTTATTTTTTCATTCTTTTCCAGCTGATCATATCTTGCTGTTAAAACCTACACTAGGCAGAGTAAAATAGTCCCAGAAGAAATCACAGAGGAGTTGGTATATAGAACATCCTGTTTGTGTCTAACCCAAAAGCCTTATATTTTATCTGTTTGTGCAAATAAATCTGATTTCCTGTACTGCGAACTGGAAGAAAATCCTCTGCTCATAGGCAGTGACAAATGAAAGCGAAAGAACAAAAACAATCTTCCTAATAAACAGTGCAGAAACACCGTCCAGAGAAATCTGGAAGCAGCAACAATACTTTTTGCTGCTATAAATAACCACAGACCAGCTGGGTGATAAACAAAAGCACTGTATATGCAGTTTACTGACTACATTAAAGACATCTGGGTACTGAAGTTGAACACCACATTTAAACTCGCAAGCTTGCAATGTTGTGTGGTGTTTTAGATTACCAGTTCTCACATATTATTACTTTTTTATTTCTCTCCAATGAGCTGCTTGTTCTGCTTTCCATTGACAATTTATCATTTATTGCACTTCAGGACTCGATTTCCCACTAACTTAAAACTAGGGCATCCTTATGTCAGCGTACCCTCTTAAATTGACAATAAATTTGCCAGTGGTTGGGCAGTAAAAGAGATTAATAATAACACAAAAGTTTGGGCAACTCCTGTAGACCCAGAAGTGTTTTCATAATCTTTTCCAATGAAGACAGAGAGAGAATTAATTACACAACTTGAAACGAGGAAATTTCTGGGATAGCCAACAGCCCTCAGCCGGCCTTTAGTACTGAAGAGAGCCTTGCTGGCAACCTGTTGCTTTAGCAGAAAGATGAAGTGTGTGTGTGTGTGTGTGTGTGTGTGTGTGTGTGTGTCCATGAGTCTCTGTTAGTGTCTCTTTGAATGTGTGAAAGGGAGGATCTTGGTGTTTGATGGTGTTATTAGCAGTCTGACTGATATACTGGGCTAATAATGGACTTAAATTAAAAATGGGACTGTGGTGTGCTGGTATGTGGTTAACATCTGAAATGAAATGGTGTCTTTTGATTTATTCATAGAGCCATTACTGTTGTTGCTTTCATTTGTCCGATGATGCTTCAAAGGCTTTTCCGCATTCACTGAACATGTCAAAATCTTGATATGGTCTGTATTTTTCAGGCACACAGAAGACATGATTACAATTACACTCAGTCGGCATGCTGGGTTTGATCACAAAATGACAGTTATGTCCTGCAGATACCTGTACTGATCATCTGATGGACGTAGCAGGAAGGAGACAAGTTATGGTTTTATCAGTCTGTGAGTGTGCAAATGTCTGTTGTATGCTGGGTCATCATGGATCCTGAACTGGTTTAATTAGACTGCTCTGCAGTGTTGCCAGGCTGCCACAATTGATGGTATGTTGGCTGCTTTGCCACGATTTAGCTCCCTGGACCGCTGCGCTCTGTCACGCTCTCTCTTTTTGATTCTTTTGGTCTTTATTTGTCATCTTCTTTCTCTTCCTCAGATCTGAATCCTCAGGAGACTCTGCTGCATTTCTCAGCACGTCGAGGTCTCTTTCAGGTTACACACTTCTTGCTGCAGCAAGCTGGGGCAAGAGGAGCCCTTCGTTTGGCCAACAGGCAAGGCGACACCCCGTCCGCCGTTGCGGAATTACGAGGGCACAAATGCCTCCATGAGCTCCTCACAAAGTAAGCGCTTGTATTATTCTCAAAACATTCAGTTCAGGTTCACGTGAACGTCTCGTGTCATATGGCTATGCTTGAAAAAGATTTATTTGTCTAAACTGTCCTCACACTGTGTGACAGTGACATTAGCCCTGAGGTTCAGTGAACATTGCCCTCTTCTCTGTACAAACAGTTCCATGTCAATATATCAGAGGGCAGATGGCGTGGTTCCTCCTTCTTTTATAGCAATGTTGTTTGTCTGTTGTCCTCACAGAACAATAGAAGTATTCAAAGAACATCACCACCAAGCCACGCAGCAGCCTAGCTTAGCACTTTCAGCTGCAGTCAGATAGTTGAGGGCAAATTGAAAAGTTGTGGGCTGCCAGTATTGTTCCAAGGAAATCTAAAGTGATGGGAAACTATTCTGCAACACAAAAGCCTCAGTCCTGTTTCCACTGTAGTACCTTTTCAGTCTCACTATGCGCAGCTCCACTTTAATCCAAACACACTGCAGTGCTCTCTCTGCAGTTTAATGGCATGGTGATGTATGTGTTTTGTTTAAAGTTGTCAAGTATTATCCTCTAATAATATCTTCCAGAGTCTAGTGAGGTCAAATTCTTTCATTCAAAATTAAAACTCAGAGGGGGAAAAAGGAGCGTTTGAGTGCATTGACTTAGACAGAGCTTAAAGTGGAAAGAGACTCCCTTTATGTCTTTGCAGAGGACGTTTCACTAAACTCAAAGTGAAGATGCCACACACTGAAGGAAAACTGCCACTTAGCGAGCTTCCTTGTTGCTAAGCTTGCACTGAAGCCAGTTTATGACCTCCATCTCGCTCTTTATGTGCTGGTAATTACATTTGCCTCATGAAAAGTGAAGTCACTTGTAGCCTTGGTTGGTGACCTCAGCTGCCGGGCCTCGGTGTTAAAGAAGTCCACCCAGGATTATGCAAACAGATCTGCCTTACTAGGAGGCGTCTCCCCTGTGCAGCACCAACATATGAAAAATGAAAAACTGCACATACTTTACCGTCAAGTCTTAAATTAAATGCAGCAGGGGGAGAGATGTTTTCTCGGAAAGCTTATCAGTTAGGAGTGGCCTTTAAGTACGTGTATTTTACTACTGGAAAGAAAAGTATAACTTTTAGTGGACAGGATATGGCATCTGGAACTTTTAAAGTTTTACTAACATTTACTAACATCTAATCTCTGATTACTTGCTGACTACTGGAATAGACTTTCACAACCAGCCTTAGCCCATTTGAAGTTTAAGGATGTGAGTTACTGAAGAAAAACTGCACTCTGTGAATTGGCTGACATCACTGTTAAAACCTTTCCGTGTTAGCCAATGCAGACCCTTCCGGATGATCTAAGTGTTTATTTCACGGCAGGGCTGAGACCGATCCGGAGAAGGACGAAGAGTCTGTCGCTGTCCAGCAGGTCTCTGAAGACGTTCAGGTGTTTTGCCACCTTCCCAAACTGAACACACACACGTTGACACTGAGCATACACCCTGGGCGTGACACACCGTCCTTTCAGAAGAGTGTTGAGCAGCTGCTGCACTTGATTTGTCATCTTCATGCCAAGGTGAGTCATGCCACCTTCCTCTTTTAGCACGCTATCTGTGCTCACATTGGCTAAAACCAGGAGCTCTGCTGCTACTGAACATTGTTGGATTGTTTGTCTTTTCACTGACCTCATTTTTTAACCTTCAAACTTCATTTGTATAACCAGTGGAACACCTTATGCAATCATAGAGTCGGCGCTTGATAAGAACTGAAGAGCAGGTCTGTTGTTTCTTTTTCTTTTTTTTTAAAGAAGAGCTAACATTTTCTTTGTCTTGTTCCGTATTCTGCAGGGAGTTTCTTTACTGAAGCTGCAGTTTGATTCTCTGCACACTGCTGCTGAATGTTCTGACGGTGTCAAAGCAGACTTAACATGTCTGGATCAACTCCAGCAGTCTGATACGGCGTCGGAGTGCCCGGATACAACAACACAAGGGAGTTGGTTAGAAAATTGCCCAGTGGAGAGCAGCAGCACTGTTGATTGTAGACACAGTGAGCCTGGAAATGCAGAGAAAGACTGTAGTTTGACTGTGAGTACTCCAACATCACAAGTACACCCCCAGGAGCATGGCCTCGTTCCCCCAGAGGACTGGGTGTGTTCAAACACGGAGAGAGATTACTCCAAAGCCGAGGAGGAGGAGGAACAGGAGCGGCCTGTTGTTTCCATGCAGGGTTTGAGTTTGTCTGACAGGACTGAAGGAGTACAGAGTGAGGCTGAAGGGAAAGGTCTCACTGTGGGAATTCTACCACAGGCAGGCTGTGGTAAACAGGCAGAGGAAACTGATAGAGGAGAGGCTGTGATCCAGGAAGGACAGGAGGCCAAGAAGGGAGAGGATAGATCTGAGCAGGAAGCAGAGGACAGCACAGCCAAGAGGAGGGAGGAGGAGATCAGCTCTGAATTAACAGATCTACTAAAGGCCAGCGGAGACACAAACGAGTCAATCATGGGCCAGTCAGCATCATCATCATATTCTGAGGTTTCAGACAATTCTGATTCTGAAGTGAAGGAGTGCTCCCAAGAAGAAGAGAATGTTGGGAAAGAAGACGCGAAACACAGCCGGGATGTTTGTAATGTACTATCTCTAGATGCAAACGAGGAAGAGAGTGAAGGGTTAACAGACACTTTATCAACCCCGATGGACCTCCCAGACCCAACGCTGATAGAGTGTGGTGATGTAATCAAGGAGCCTGAACCTGTTCCATGTCTGTTGATAGAAGGTCTCCATGAAGGGGAACCTCTACCAGACATAAACAGCCTGGAACAAAACCAGGAAACAGCTGGTAGGGATTATGCTACAGAGCAGGAGTGGGGTTTGGCATCAGAAAGTGGTTGTCATTCTGGGAGTTGTACTGACGCAGTTGGTGGAAAAGAGCTACACAGTGAAGACGTAGTAGAACCCTCTGGATACAGTATTGAAAGCAGAATTTTGCCTGCGGAAGAAGTTGACAGTTCAGCTGTCTTTTTGGCTTTCAGCGACATCGTAGTAGATACACAGACTGATAGTTTTGACTGTGAGCCGTTGCCTGACAAGATGCCGACTGAACGACAAGCTGACCGTGACTCAGGTACGGCCCACGGACTCTCCAGTGATGACGATGGCAGTTTCAGATCAGCTGGAAGCTCTACAACAGAAATATTCCAGCCCGCTCATGGCAGCATCGCTATGGAGGATCAGGACTTACTTCAGTCAACGATAGTACGGCAGCCCTCAGCTGGATTTGAGATTGAGGCCCCCAGTGATTTTAAACCTAAAGAAACCTGTGAACATTTCACAACTGTGGATACAGGACTCTCATCGGAGCCTGACACCCATCTTGAATCAGAACCCAAACTCTTGAGCTTGGATGATTTAAATTCTGAAGCGACTGGGAATCTAGCCCCAGATCTTTCCAAAGAGGATCTGTCCTTTGACTCAGCTGGGAGTGAGGATACTCCAGCAGCACAGGTGGAGGAAAGTGAAACTGAGGAGACCAATAGCTCTGACCTGAATGTAGGGATAGAGCTTTCAGCATCAGGATTGGGCAGCGGGGTACTTACCGAAACTGAGCCATCTGTAACAGAAGAGAGCAAAGTCACCAACATAGTTGAAGAGGATGTTCAACGGACCAGTGAGACAAGTGATATGCCTGTGGTAGTGGCAGCAGATGAGAGTGGAAATGTTCAACCTAAACAGGATAATTCTGAGATAACTGCAGAGGAAAGGCCACCTGAGAATCAGATCACTTTGTCTATCCCACAGGATGACATTGTGATTTCAAATAGTGCTGATCTAAGTTCGGAAATAACGGCACTTTCACCTAAGAGTGAAGGATCCATAGAACTTCATACTGAGAATCAGATGACTGAAAATCCCTCTGATTTTGTGGATGGATCCTTGGAGAGCTGCAGCACTAAAGCTCAAGGTGGGTAAATGCTGATTTATTTCAGTCCTTGTTCAGGTTTATTCCAGGTCCACACACTCATGCATCACACGCCAATATGTTTGTCAAAGTCTTATTCCTAAGCAAATATGCTAAATTAGATTCAGTCCTCTTCAGGTGATTAATGGCAAAAGCTCCGCAAAGTTAAATGCCACATAGCTCACCATTATTGAGCTCACAGGGGTTTTAGCTTTTTTGTGACATCCCGTTGTGATGCATTGCTGTTGTGACTATATGTTGTCCTGAGTCTTTATATTATTTTGAGAAAATTGTAATTCTAATGAAGAGTTATTAGTACATCTCAATTATCTGATTTTTAAAAAAGATGGGATTTTAAAACACTTTGATCAAAGTTTGGCATCCACAGACGCATTTTTATGCCATAGTAGCTCACAATGAGACACTTTGACATGTTATGCAATGGGAAGTAAGGAGCTGGTTTGTACCACCAGTAACTTAGGCCACGATTAGTCTGACAACAACACCCTTTATATACATATGTTCTTTGTTAGTCTCTCTTACACTCACGAAAGCACGGTCTGGCTACAGTCTAAGTCAGCATGCACAGTCACATTACAAGTGCACGTGACTCGGCCTCAGATACACAGCTACAAGTCTGGAATCTGTAAAACAAACATACACAAGCCAGCTGATGTGAGCGTGTTGCAGGAAGGGAGACTCACAGAGTGAACCTTCAGCAGTCCTCTGTTGGCAGTTTTTGCTCATCTGAAATAATTGTGCCGGAACCGAGTCCAATAAAGAGAGGTCAAGGGCAAGGTTGTGATGTGCGTCACACAGGGAGTGCGTTGTCATTATGAATTAGAGGATATATTTACAGCATGACAGTGTCACAGCATCAGGTAATATCTTGGTGAGCTTGTCAGAGACAAAATTTCTGTTGTTTCCCAGTTTGGGTATGAAGAGTGAAAATCGAATCTGCTACTAGTGAGTGCTTTTATTTATTTTTCTCTTCTGTAGAATATTTATGAGACTTTTTAAGCTTCCAATGACAGTCATCAGCTCATGTTGACTAATAATACCAAGATATAAAGCCCTCAAATTCTCTCTCACAGCTATATAGAATAAAAGAAACCAACCTTTTCAGTGAAGGATAATAGTGAATAAAACCATCCAGAAACACTTTGCTACTTTGCTATTGTACAAAGTTTGTGACTCATCAGTGTATCTGTGCTCAGGAAAGATAAGTCTCAGAACCATTCACTCTAAACACTTGTTATTGATTCCTATATTTGGAAGATTTGCCATTGCACTGATTGCATTGTGTCGTGTGCCTTTCTCTAGAGGTGGATGTCATCAAGTCTGAAGACACTTTAAGTGATGCAAGGGAGGAACAAAATGGCCCAGCGGAGGGAGCAGACTTCTCCACGGTATGCTTGAAGTCTCTTCTGTTGTTGTCAGCTATCAAGCTCTGCTTTGCTGTTGATGTGTGTTTGATTAACAGAAGATGAGTCACTGTTTGCTGAAGCTTTGAAACAACCAAAGTAGCTTTTGGAGTAAAAATGCTCTGACCAAACAGTCAGCGACTATGCAGCTAAGGTGAGTCTTTGTTGTTTTAATGGGAAATAAGAACAATTGTGTTCTTACATGGACAGCTGGACTTTCATATGCAGTTTTTGTACAGTTTATGGAAGAGTGTTACAGATGTAGCTGCTGTTTCTTGCTAATGCAGAGTCTACTGTTTTCTGTTCTGAATTCAGTTTAGAAATTGTGTATTGTTTTAGCATGCACAGTTTGTTAAAATCTGTCTAGATTTAAAGCAAAGTTAATACTTGATTTTTTTTTTTTTGTTCTGCACAGAATCTAATGTGAGGTATGGATGAAAAGGCTTTTACTGCTAGTTTTAACCAAACTTGCTGTGTTTGGCTGAAAGTGTCCTTAAGAGTATGCACAAGTCAAATTTCAGGTTTTCTGGAAACAGTAACCAAGTTTGACGTTCTTAAGATACAGCAATGGCCAGGGATTGCAAAAAAATTTCAAGTAAAGAAAAAGTACACCACAAATATTAGAGGAGAAAGAAAAGCCAGATTCTCTTACAAGCAGCTTGATGTGCCAGCTAGATATTTGGCAAGAGTTCAGGAGGAAAGCTGTCTGGAACATTGTAAGACTTGTAGCTTGGACTGGATTATTTATTTATTTATTTTGTATTTTTCAAAAGGAATATATTACTCTGTGAAGTTTCTTTATGTAACACCGATGCATTTGATTTCCTATAAACTCTCACAACTTTTCCCTGCTTCATCTCGTGGGAGACTTGCCATGCAGTTGGTTTACTATCAGCTCAGCTACTGAAGGCATGGATGCAGCTTTTGGTAGACGAGACTTTACTCTGAAATGTTGCTGACTGACAGATTCCTCTGCAGCCATAGACTGGAGTGGCTCTGCTTATTCCTGGGTTGCGGTCGAAGTCATCGGCTTGTTCTAAATGCCAGATGTTTGACTGCAGGAGGGTATACACACAGTGTGCAGGAATGTGGGGTCGCCAGCAGAGGGAGATGTAACCTCAATTGCGTCACTGGAGCTTCTTCTGACCAATTTAATGACCTGTCATTTGATCCTTTTGAAATATCCCCTAATTGCTATGATGAGGAGGAAATCTGGAGTCATGCTGGTGTTGAACAAACTGCAGTAGAAGCTGAGGTGAAGAATGGCCTGAAGACAGAGCCTCAGATGTTCTTTTAAGAATGCTAAGTTACAGTTTTTGAATTCAAAAGCATTTATGGCAATCGATAAGAACAATCACAATAATAAGGCACACTTATTTATTCAACTTATTCTGTAAAAGTGTAAATAATTAGAAAAAGAATTAAAAATAACTCAAGTGGGTTAAAGTGTACATGAAATATATTTTCAGTGTGTTCTAAAACTCAAGGCAGCAGGAAGCAAAAACACCTGACTGCTTAACAGAATCTAAGTGACAGCAACAACAACTAGCTGCATGAAATGAGATGCGTAAGGTTAACAAAGTAATTAAAATCAAAAAGAGTGTGACAGTGTTTTGACGAGATTCAAGCTGTTTAGACTGCAGATAATTTAGTCCTGGATGATTCAGTTTGTGTGACAGCTTTTCCGTTTCATATTTTAGACTTAGCCAATCTGCACGGCGACACTCTGACCCATAAAGTTTATGCTTTTCTCTCCTCCAAACTGCGCGTCAAAGCAGACAAAAACTGTTTTCATCAACAGCTGTGAGTCTGTTTGAAGTGTAAAGAAGTGTAAAATATTCAAGATAAGAACACGAGATAAATTTAGATTAGATTTAGGTTTTTTTTGTCTTTTTCCAGATGTGTAAGAGAGAGTGAAAGCTATAATCTCCTCTTGTTGAGGATTTTTAATCCAACAGCTTTGTTATTTAGACAAAACCCATAAGTATCATTTAATGTGACATCACAGTGAGGCTAGATCAATATGATGGACCCATTAACTTCTGCTTGTGTCCTTGCTTTCAGTGTGTGCTCTGTTTAATTCCTCCACTCATCCGATTCAAAATAGATTATAGGGAGAATATGGAGGAGTTGTTGCATAATTTTTTGTGTACTGGAAACCTTTCCTGGTAAAGTGCAGTTTCAAGGCGAAATATGTCTTTGATTAATAACTGCACATGACAAATGACCCCCTGGTGAATGAGACAGCAATGGTCTGTAGAGACATTTTCACAATGAAATAAGAGATTCTAAGGGTTTCCTGTAGTCAGTGGTTACGGTCATGTGACGGAATAGCTTTTTTCCTTTACGTTTTAAAATGCACTCTTACATGGATGTACACAGTTTTCTGTCTTTACAGTGAGGAAAAATGGTCAGCCAAGGCTGAGAAGCTGTTCAAGGAATCCCTGTGTGTTTATACACCACTCTGCATTTAATTATTATTTGTTATTAATCTCTGGCTCTATTTCCCAGGGTGTTTTTGTCCTGTCTTCATCCACTCACCCCCAACCGGTTGCGGCAGATGCCCGCCCCTCCCTGTGCTGGTTCTGCTGGAGGTTTCTTCCTGTTAAAAGGAAGTTTTTCCTTCCCACTGTTGCCAGAGTGCTTGCTCATAGCGGGTCATACGATTGTTGGGGTTTTCTGTTTTCTTTGTATTATTGTAGGGTCTTTACCTCACAATACGAAGCGCCTTGAGGCAACTGTTGTTGTAATTTGGTGCCATATACCGGTAAATTGAATTGAACCATTGGTTGCAGCAGAATAATATATGAACCCACCAAACAGAACTTCAGAATCAAACATCATGTTTTCTGTTTAAAAAAATAAAATGCCATTCAGCAGCCTCCTCGAGCTATGAGGCACCTGGTGCTCTGTGAAAGTTTCAGTTAGCGTCGAGCTTCATTTGTTTGTGGCTACTGAGATTCACGCCTTTGTGCTACTGGACAACTATAGCCAAGTAGGTCAAAGCTGGATTCTCATGTAAGCAACAACCCACAGACAGCAGGGACTTCAACACATTTGCATACCATCCAAATATCGTTCAGAGGGTTCTCAACCTCAGGCTTCCTTCCCAGCAGCATAGATTTGATTACAGAGGCAGCGGGGGATTAAACTTTGTTACTTTGATTTGTGATTTATCTGTTATGCTTAATTTAATTTTTCTTAATAGCAATTTGTGATGAAATGTGCAAATACAAAAGATCAGAAGCAGGTTCAGGACAATGTTTAGATGAGTTTTTGTAAGCTTTTGTCCAGCTGCTTTTAGAATTGCAATATACAGTTTTTTCTTTTCATTTTACACTTTTTAGGTCTGTTAGGCGTGCCACATATGAAATATGCCCATGTGTACACCCATGCACACACACAAACTAGTTCAGACCTCTATGGTTACAGTTTTTTTTCTATTTGCACTTTTCTATTTGGTGGTTTGGCCTTGTTCTAGGACCTCCATGTCCTCCCACGCACAGTATTATAGAACAGAGCAGGCGTCCATGAAATCTTGACGTGACACTGAGTAAATCAGAAACAGGATGAAAGAGGAGCTGTGCCAGAGCTGGGTTACAACGCGGCTTGTGGATGCAAAGCAACTATAGGCAATGTTCATCAGCTTTAATATCACATCCTGTCCTGTCTGCAGTTTGCCAGTTGGATATTTAGAAGAATCTCAGCTGATTTTTTTTTACTGGCACTGAGATCAGCTGATCTGCCAGAATTGCTAGTGAGCTTGATTTCTTGGCATTCTAAATTATTCTTTGTGTGTACTCATTTTTGATCTTATCAAGAAACTCAAACATATTGCCTTTGAGCTCGTTTGGGGAGTTAAAAGAGAGAACAGCTTGAGCAGGAGCTTAATGTGCTGCAAGAAATAATAAATAAGGGTTTGGGCGTTTAGTGTCTTTATGTCCACAAAATGGCTTTTCTGCTCTGAGCGCTCAAAGCGTTTTATACAACTCGCCTCATTCAGCCATTCACACAAGCACTTTCTTCTATACTTTCCCAGTGTAAGTGCTTTCTATCTAACATTCACACACATTCATACTCTGGTGCAACTTGGGGTTAATATTTGACATGGAGACTGGAGCAGAACCATCAACCTTCCGATTTGTGGGTGACCTGCGTTATCTCCTGAGCTACAGCTACCCCACCATAGCCCTCCATGGTGTTCTTTTCCTATACATAGATTTTTGATTGTGATTGTGCATACACATGCCATGCTGACATCTATCATATAACATATCCATATTGGATTAATCTTGATATTTAAGAGTTTTAACATTTTACAAACTGTATGTCAGAGATGGTTTTGGCAAAAAAAGCTTGAAAAAGGTGTAGTTACACCGAGAAGGTGCTCACCAGTAGGGGGTGTTAAAGCTCAGCAGCGTTAATTGATGTTGTTGAATAACGTTAACTGAAGGAATAATGCTCCACTGTCATCTGTCACACAGTAACAATGCAATGCTCTGGATGGCTGATTCATACAAAAAGAGAGAGGTATTCACAGCCTCACAGGGAGAGAGAGAGAGAGAGAGCGAGCAAAGGCATGAGTCAAACACAGTCAAGAGAGAAGTTGAGACGACAGAGGAAAAGAAAAGTATGGGAGGGAGGTGGGGAGAAGTGAAGGAGGGAGGAGTAGAGCTGGAGTCTGGTGGAAAGCTGCTTCTGCGGCCAGATGTGAAAAGCTTAGCAGACTGCTTCAGTTCTCCTCAACAGTGTTTCTCTTGGATTTTTTAACCTTCTGTTCAATAAAGCAGCCCTGGATATTTAAGGGAAAATGTACGAACGACACAAGCGGAGGTATAGTCTCTGTGCCAAAGGGGAGAGAGCTGTAGACGTGGTTTTGATTAAGGTAGGCTACCTATCGGCGCTTTCAAACAAAGTCGTTTGGTGTGGTGATCCCACTACTGACACAGTATTAACGCTCATTTGAGCTGAAGCTTTGAAAGCAT